TTCCACTAAAATTGCACTGTGTTTAATAGACTTTGCTAGTTCAAGTTGTCCTGTAGGAGCAGCTCTTCGGACAATTATGAGCAATTAGATCCTTGTACAGTGGACTCAGGGCCTTTGTCAGGGTGTATGCCTCCACAAAAATCTGCACAAATCCACCTATGCAGACAACCAAACTATAAACAGTAATGTCATCTTAGGCTTTTGAGGCTCTGGATAACACCAGGGTGGTGAGGAGTGACTATGGAATAAGCTCAAGGAAGAATGCCCATATGGAAAAGATGTATATAAATCTTATAAGGTTTGTATCTGTCTTATGTGAAACTTGTATGAAAAGCATACAAGAGTGAAACCAGATATAAGATCCCTTGAAAAATTATATAAATGAAACTTGTATGTTTTGGATACTTACTAAAACAATATATGAAAGTAATGAGAAAGTGTCCACTTTCATGAGTAAATCATATAAGCCTTATATGATTCACTATATGAAGTAGGCCACATCTTATGCAAGTCTTTTATAAGTTCTTTCTATTTCTTTTCCATATGGGTGTAGTTGCCACACACCTGTTCGTGTACAATAGTTTGAAAAAGTTATTGCCCTCTAAACCTAATAACACTTAGCAGCAAAAACTGCAATCAAGTGTTTGCAATAATGGCCAAGGAGTCTTTTACAGCACTGTGGAGGAATTTTGGCCCACTCATCTTTGCAGAATTGTTTTAATTCAGCCACATTGGAGGGTTTCCCATGATAAACCGCCTTTTTAAGGTCATGCCACAACATCTCAATCAGATTCAGGTCTGGACTTTGACTAGGCCACTCCAAAGCCTTCATTTTGTTTTTCTTAAGCCATTTAGAGGTGGACTTGGAGTGTTTTGGATCACTGACCTCTTCCAAAACCCAAGTGTGCTTCAGGTTGAGGTCACACAGGTGGCCAGATATTCTCTTTCAGGATGTTTTGGCAGACAACAGAATTCATGGTTCAGTTTACCACGGTAAGTCTTCCAGGTCCTGAGGCAGCAAAACAGCTCCAGACCATCACACTACCACCACCCTGTTTTACTGGTGGTATGATGTTCCTTTTCAGAAATGCTGTTACTTTTACACTAGATGCAATGGGACACACAACTTCCAAAAAGTTTAAGTTTTTTCTCATCAGTCCACAAATTTTCCTAAATGTCTTCGGGATCTTCAAAATGTTTTCTGGCTAAACTGAGACGAGCCTTTTTGTTCCTTTTGCTCAGCAGTGGTTTTCATCTTGGAACCCCGCCATGCAGACCATGTTTGCCCAGTTAATGTGGAGTCGTGAACGCTGACCTTAACTGAGGCAAGTGAGGCCTGCAGTTCTTTGCATGTTGTTCTGGGTTCTTTTGTGACCTCTTGAATAAGTCGATCTTGCACTCTTGGGGTAATTTTGGTCGGCTGGCCACTCCTGCGAAGGTTCACCACGATTTCATGTTTTCACCATTTTTGGATAATGGCTCTCACTGTGGTACGTTGGACATCTAAAGCTTTAGAAATGGGTTTATAGCCTTTTCCAGACTGATAGATCTTAATTACATTGTTTCTCATTTGTTCCTGAATTTCCTTGGATCGTGGCATGATGTCTGGCCTTTGAGGATATTTTGGTCTACTCCACTTTGTCAGGCAGGTCCCATTTAAGTGATTTCTTGATTGAAAATGGGTGTGGCAGTAATCAGGCTTGGGTGTGGCTAGAGGAACTGAACTTAGCTTACCAAAGATGTGATACACCACAGTTCATTTATGTAATAATGGGGAGGTACGCTGGGGTCTAAGTGACGTAAATGTCATTATCATCTGATTTCAAAGACGTATAACAGCAATTACTACTCCAGCTTTTGGTGTCTGTACACAACAGAGAATGACTGAGGCCTTAGTTGCGACTATTCCGCAGCAGCATCTAGTGCAGCCTGTAGGTTTCTCTATATGTGCACTTTAATTTCAACATGGCTCAAACAAATGGATTGCAGTTTGAAATAAATGAAACCCTAATAAAAATCATGATCCTATTTAGATAAATGCTTTCCTTTTGCTCAACTAAATTTCGTAAAGTATGTGAATTTGAAATCCCGTACTATTCCTTTAGTTCCACGTCAGTCTTGTTATGGTTATTCACAGTATATATTAAAGTGCTTCTCTCAAAGGTCAAAGAAATGATTAGTTGACTATTTTGAAACTATTTGCTTGCGAAAAGTTTTGCTCAGTTAAAAGTTTGCTTGGTACACTGACATTGTGATTACTGTAAGTCATAAAACATAAATCTACAGCAAAACAATTAGTATTCCAACAAAATCCTTAGTCAACAGCTTGGTCTTTCATCAGGGTGCAGCTGAATTTATTATGTGTGTAAAAGTGCAAAGAAAACGCTATAGGGTGTGTTACAGAACATTAGATTTATTCCTACTATGTATTCCTACTATGCAACTGTAACCCTCTCTTTATTTCTAAGTTAATGATAAAATTATCTTTGCATCTGCAGAGGTGTAAAAATTAACACCATTTGCTGCATTTATTGGTACAAAGCCATTAAGTTTGTTTAAGTATCTATCTTGCTGCTGAGGCTGCGAGGATTAATCTCTGTCAGTGCGCAGCAGGACTAGGTAGACACTGCATGGCCTTGAACAGAGAAAATTGGCACGCTGGTCAAAATAGCATCCAAACCACAAGGGTGAGGGAACAGAGCAGGAACAACCAGGAGCAGAAAAAAATATCTCACACACTCCAGAACAAACCTATTTATATGTCATGCCTTAACAATAGTGCAGTGTCACTGAATCTGTGCACCTTTCATAAACATAATGACTCAATGTCCAACATAAGCTCAACAAGAACCCCCCCTCCCCCCTCTCATCCTCAGCAATACACCACTTTGAGCCAGTGCCAGAGCTGTTAGGTAATTCTAGACTAGAATACAATGATCTTAACAGCACTGATTATAGCAAAAGGTAAATCAACATTCTCAACATAACAGATAAACTGAATGGAAGCTCATATTCAACTGCTCATCAGCAGGGACCTGATCAATTATGCATTAAATGATCTGCGGTTGTATCTGGCATTAGGCCCGAGTCTACAAATAAGAAGCCCTCCCTGCTATTTCCAAACTGTAGGACCACCACTCCATAAACCTCACAAAATGGATTACACAACCTTAATTTTGAATTACACATCTTGCCTGTATCCTCTCACCTTCTACACGGGGCCCAAAGGAGCCTATCAATTGGGATTTTTCACAGTGTGTGATTAAAGTCTTGTAGTGTTTTCCTGTTTTGGTGTGTGTGTGCGTGTGGGGGGGGGGTTTGTCTGAACAGCACAGAAGCCGTCACACGGATGTCACCTTGTTTTGATATAGGTGGTTGCTAAATTGAGACGGCTAAAAGCCCTGCTGTCAGCTTTTATCCATCTGAATGAAAGACTGACTGAACCGTCTGGTTGCTGTTAACGTTAAAATGCCAGAGCCCGTCGATACTCCGGATTTATTACCAGAACGGTGCATTTTGGCCTAATGTAATGCGCAGAGGCCTTCCTCTCACGGCAGCACCTCTGTTGCCTGCTAGAAACTGGACCTGAAACTGTTGTTAGGCTCGGGGCACGCAGATCTGAATGGAGGTGGACGGGGAAATGATTGGAAAAGACTTCTAGAACACTGCTCTGAAATCACATGAGAAACACAAAACAATGCCATTTTATCCTGTTTGCTATAGCATTGTACAGCGTTAATATTTCAACTGATACTGCACTGGAAAACAACAAGTTCTGTTGGTGTCCACCTCGGAACCTACTGTCCTCAATTCAATATTAGGAACAGCTAAGTTGGCTAACGTTAGCTGGTTAGCCACAAGGCTAAGTAATGTGTTTGGTTAACAGCTTTCTGTTAGCAAGCTCCCGTAAGTTAGACAGGGGTTTGCCAATAAACTATGCTTCGTTACTGCTGCCAGTGTCCCCTTCCAGTACAAAGCGAGGAGAACGTCAGATGCAGTGAGTTTACTCCAAAGCAGTAACGTCATAAACAGTAAATAAACAAAGAAGAGCCATGATATTGAAGATTTCAGTGTGACGGTAATGAGACCGATGGCCAGGGTTAGCGAGTTCACTGTCACCCATCTGGGCATTCCTCTGCTCATTCGTGAAACAAAGCAAGGTTACAGGACAGGAGAGGCAGCTCAGACTAGATTTACCAGGACTGCACACGCACATACACAGTCAACATAATCGCATACTGAGTGTGTATGTGTGTGTGAGAGAGAGAGACCCCCCCCCCTTCGGCAACAACACAGACAGATTTGAACTGCTGTTTTGACTACACACTTAGGCCCATCAGTGATGAGGCAGGTCTCTAACCTTTGTAATGGACCCGTAGGTTGTTCTGTGACAGCCCAATGTAGCTGTATTTATCCTTGGGGCTCCAGGATCGGGGTAAAGGGGTCTCTTCCTCGTTTACAGCCGGGTAAAGCCGCTTCAGCCTCTCGTTAAGCTCGTGCTCCTGGTAATTAAAAGCAGGATCTCCCAGCGGCAGGCTTCCCGCTCCGAGCTCTGTCATTTTTTTTGGCCTCCTGTTTTTGTATCTTATTGTTCGTTTCTTTCTATCCAAAGCCCAGTGTCAGTCCGCTGGAGCTGTAGGCTGAGAGTGAGAGGGACTGAGGGGAGAAAATAGCAGCGGTGTGACATCCCCGGATAAGCAGCAGAATGTACTGTAGGCTGAAATAGTGTCGTATGGGTACTGTAGTTCAGCTGCACGCTCGCTTTTATGCTAATGTCACTAGAAATGACTACAGAGTTCCACTACTGTTAGACGGGTTTAGGGCCTTCCAGTGAGATAGGGGCTAGGAAATGTAGTTTTCGTCTGTTAAACTTACACACGTTTTCAGAACGTTATATAATTTAAATTTGAACTTTACATGGTAAAACTTGTATTTATAAGTTAAAGGGTATTTTTACAGTATTAATAGCAGTGTTATTTCCTCGGCGAAATATATGCCTGTTCATAAAACCACTGTGTTGTTTACTAAGTTTTATTATATTGTAATTAATATAGCAGATATGTGAAATAGCCTTTATAAAACACGTTACCATATATTGGTTATTATATATCAAAGTTAATGATTGAGTTGAGCAGATAAAATCATTGCCATTTTGAAAATTAGTTAGGCGCACACCGGGCAACTACGTGGGGTCTTGTTGCGTAGTCAGTCGTCGTTACCATGGAAACCCTGCTACAAATGTTGTGCTGTGCGACGCTAAAGCCGATCTCATTGAGTTAAACTGACGAAATACAACAGTTTCAAACGGGCTAAGTGTTTGTTATTGTCCACCCCTTATATCAAAGCTATAAATGTCACCAAACAAAGATATGAAATTTCCACCTCTAACACCGTCACAAAAAACAAGGCAAGTGATGAAATGACTTCCATTTACACCAAAAATCATGCTACGTTTGTTTTTATGTATAAATACATTTGTATTTCAAAGCTTATTTAAATTACGTTTAAGGCAGACTGACTTTGTTGTTTGCATATTAGACTTACATATGAATACAATCTACAAAGTTACACAGCCCAGACATCAGAGGAAGGACATGAAGAGGAAAGTGCTGGTGGTGTATCTGTCCAACCATGTGCAACGAGAAAGGTACGTAAATCAGGTAACATTACACAAACAGCAATCTGACTTTGTCCTGCCAACATCTAAAGTCTTTTAATTGGTATAAAGATCATCTAAGAACTTCATGGCATCTTTATAAACTTTATCTTTCAGTGTCACAGGAAAGTTCCTTTCACAGTACTGTGTGTGCTTTTGTGTGACCAATCATGTAGTGCTGGACAGGAGGCAGTTACTTTTATGCAGGCCCAAACAGAAAGCCACAACTTCTGATGCAGCTGGAGAACTATGTGAGCAAGGAGCTTCATACTATCGACCCACATGAGCCAAAATTTCAGGAGCTGAAACTTCAGGTGAAATGTTTTTGTTGATTGTATTTATGTTTAGAAGATATATACGTATTTTCTTGCTGCAGTCTAAGTACTTACAATCTTACTCTACTTTGCCTACAGGTCTACCGCAATGCATTTGAATGTTTCATCACTGCCTTCAAAACTTACCAACCCCTTCTGTCTGCCATTAAAAAGGAATATGAAAACACCTTTGGTCAGTAACTCTATGAGAAAGCTAGTCTGATTTGTATAGATTTTATAAAAATGCTATTTAAAAAAACAATTTATAACAGATTTGACAAGGTTTTGAAGCAGATTAGAAATGGCGTCCCACAATGTTTTTGGGAAAAACAGAAAAATATATTACCTTTGGGTATAGAATTAAATAAATTAAAGTTTTATATTTACAATACATAAATATCAATATTCTCTCACATCTAAGTGGTAAATGTCTTACATCAAACTAAATTTATTGGTTCAAATGCACATGCAAAGAGAGGGTGTATAATAGTAACAACAATGTAGATATCTCTTTAGAGACAGAAAAATATAATTTGATTAGCCCTTTCTTGCAGTCATAATACACAGCAACCAGCGTGGTTCCATCCAGCCTTGCAAAGTAAGGCAATATATTTCTTTGTAAAAAAAAATGTATTATTCTGAATTAATTTCTCAAAACTTTGTGACTTTAATATTCAGTAACTATATTAATAATTTTGAGTCTTCTCCAGGTACTATTCTGTCTCTTTGCCATTCACTTTTGAGTGTTTTCTTCTAAATCATCCTATACATAGTCATACACTTTTCTTTGTTGTTTGTTAAGGATTCAACTCAGCATTTGTGAGAGCAAATCTGGGTTAAGAAGTTAATAAAATTAGTGGAAAGGATTCCACTAGATTCCAATAGCCTTCTAAAAGGTCCTAGCAGTTTGTGTAGGCAGTAAAATGATAAGTTCTATTGTAGCATAGAAAGAGTTGGTTTCAACATGTTATTCTAACCTAGTTAAAACTAATTGTCTATTCAGTAAAAAGATGAAGTTTGTAGAGGTTAGCTTTTCTTTGTATAAAGACTTTATATTAGGGAGTTGATTATTTGTTGTAATGCATGCATTGTATACATCTTTTCAGTTCATCAGGGAGAACAAATCAAAAAGCTGGAACCACTGCAGTCCCATCTGAGGCTGGTGACAGAGGAATGTGACAGAAAGATTCAAGCTCGCTGGGCAGAGGAGCAGGCTGAGATTGCTGCCTTGAAAATGGAGAAGCAGAAGCTAAAGGAGGAGATTGAAGCCATGAGAAAGAGAGAGAAGACAGTGCAGGCAGTGGTAAATGGCATACTTTTAATTTTATTTTTGTTTAATTAATCATGTGACTTTTAGTCACTTGGATGAGTGACAAAACATTTCTCCCACTGAAAAGGCTACGTCTAGATGAACAGAATCAACTTTTGGAGATTTATTTATCTGGATGATTGAGAATGCATAAAGACATGTGACTTTTAAGGCCATGAAAGCTTTTATGAAAGCATAAAAGCTTAAGGGCATGAAAGCATACACACAACCCTGCGCATAAAGGAAATGCATCCATCAATTATCGTATCAGTCACCCCATTGCCTGTTGTTCCTCTTAAGGTGGATCATCTGCAGTCAGAACTGTCTGACCAGTATCTGCAGTACCGGGAGGAGCGTGATGCTCGCAGGTTGCTGATTTGGCAGCTCAATGACATGACAAGAAGTAGTGTGAAGGAGCAGTGTTCTGCAGACAAAAGTACAGGTATAACAACATCTATTACATCTTTAACTAGTTAACAGTGAACTGAAAATAACTTAAGTTCCTTTTTTTTTTAGATGTGAATTTAGATGTGATTTCTTCCCAAAATAAACATGTATGGTTTTAAGACAATATAATATATTCTTTATTGGGATTAATTAATTAATTAATTTTGTTTTATTTATTTTTGGGATTACTTTCTCACACTCTGACCAAATGATTTGAAGGTTAATATGAGGAGTCACCATAGCAACAATATATGTACGATGGAATTAAAGGAAAAACAATTGATACCCTTTAAGTGATACTGAAAATAATAATTTGTTTAAACGTTGAAACTGTCAGTATCTTTATTGGATGGTATTCCTTAGGAAACATTTCCAGTGACTCACTTGAGACTCTCTGTAACTATAGTAGTAATGGAGAATAACTCTCTAAGTAACTGTGTTAAACTCCATATTTTGCATTTGAAAGTTAAAGTTAAACTCCATAAAAAAGATTATTTTTGAGATTGAAAAAATTGCAGAAGTAGTTTGCAAATTCTGTTCGTTTGAGTTTTATTTCACTAATTTCCAACTTTTTTGTATTATTATTATTAAATAATTGATAAAAGATGGTAGCGTGTGATCAGCTTCTGGTGTGGGGCATGCCAGAAAAAGTTTGAAAACCTCTTTGATGGAAAAGGCCCAACATTATCTATATTTGAAAAACCCAAGTACAGTAACCTCTAGAGCTCAGCAAAACATATGTTTTTATATGTTTAGAAAATATAAATGTCTATAGGGAAGTGTGTCATGCTCTTACATGTGCTTCCATTTAGATTGGAAGGATCCTGTGGAACTGCAGCTCGCTCTAAAGGTGTGTCGAGAAGACCTGAGGAAAGCCCAGGAGGAACTGAACAGGATGAACGCAGAGTACTGGGGTGTTGTGCCCCAGTGTGACTGGGACGCCCTTGAACAGAAACACCAACGGACCGAGCTTCAGGTATCTCATGCTGGATACTATATGTAGACTTCATGACTTAACATCTCAACAGTCTTTGGTGACTTTTTTTTCTTTTTATTGTGAAGTTGAAGACACTCCAGGATGACTTTGATCAGTTAAAGAGTGAGTATGACACACTGCTGGAACTCCACAAACGAGGCAGCATGCAGGCCAAGACACACGTCTCAACCTCTGTCCAGGTACTTTACGTATGTAGAACTTGAACAGATTTTCAATTCTATGAATATTCTAATAAATGTAATGTGTGTGTCACTATCTGTCTCTAATCTAATAAATGTCACCTGATAAAGCTGATAAAGAGCCTAAATATGAATAAATTAGGGTCCAGAAGCTCGATACTGCTATTCCAGCAATAGAGACAGCTTGACAAATGTCATCGTAAACTGACAAATATGAAAGTTGGATCAATCTTCTCAGCAAAAGTAATGACCAACATTGCCACCAAAATGTTTTTCAGACTGATGAGAGTGGGTCCCAGCAGCAAAGCCACATTCAGTCCCAGCAACAAGAGGAACCAGTCACCTCTGATGCCCCTGAGAGCAACATGTTCCCTGTCCATGAGTCTAGGTGATAAAAATAGATATACATTGAAACACACACACACACACACACACACACACACACACACACACAGTCAGTTTTATTTATACTGCATAAAGTCATAATTTTGCCTCAAGGGGCTTTAAAATATGTGCAGCATACACTACTGCCTAGCCTTATACCATCAGTTCAGATAAGCCTTGAAGGTTATGAGTAATTTTCTGTCTGGTTCTGTTTTACTTTGTCAAATGAGAGCCATGTGTATATATGTGTGTGTTCATATGTATAGGGAGGCCCAGAGGACAACATATTTTGGAGAGGAAACGGATCCACGTTTGGCCTCATCTCAAGGTGAAGCAGGCAACAGTGGTGATCCCATCTCCTCTTAGAGCCTGCGTTTAGTGGCTGGGGTCTCAAGTTTGAGCCTTGATGTAATTCACAACATGTGATCAAAATTGTGAAGATGCTGAATTAAATATTAAAAATTGTGACCACTGAGACCACCTGTGAGTTTTCAAGCTTTACCTTCAGTTCCTTGACAATTCAGTGGAAAATGTACCATCAAATTTTAAAACCACTTTCCTAACAGTGAGTGAAATACTCGTATCGTATTTATTCTGTATTACAGAAGCCTGCTTAAAAAAATACATTCATTTACAATATCCAAGTCACCAGCTCTGACGCTTCTTCTCCAGCACACCACAGCAAAGTACATTGTGCTCACTACAACTGGCTGATGGAAAATCCCCATGATTTTACTCTCATTTTGCTCTCTTCATTAGGAAGTAGAGCTTGCTCATCCTCTTTTTGGATACAGCTTCTGTGTTGGTCTTCCAGTTCAATCTGTTGTTGATATGGATGCCTCTGTATTTGTACTCCTCCACCACATCAGCATCCTATCCCAGGATAGACATGGGTCAGTTGTCCTCTTTCCTCTGAAGTTGATCACAGTCGCTCTGGTCTTATTCACATTTGGAAGCAGAAGAATCCTCCCAGGCCAGTCCAGTCACCCAGTAGTGCTCTGTGCTCCTCTTCCCACCCACAATTAATACAACCAACAACCTCAGAATTGTCAGAGTATTTCTGTAGATTGCATTGACCACAATTGTACTGAAAGCCTCAGGTGTACAAGGTGAGCACAAATGGAGATGACACAGTTCCCTTTGGAGCTCCTGTACTGTACTGTCCAGTCTCCCAAATTGCAGTTTGTCTACATGTATCAGGTAATCATTAATCCAGGAGATGGTGGACATGTTTGTTAATATTTCTGGTAGCTTCTGTATGCGAACTGCAGAGGGTCACGAGATGTTTTCATGTTGGACAGTACTTATCTCTCGCCAATCTTCATTAAATATGATGTAATGGCAAGTGGTCAGTAGGCTTTAAATTCTTAATAGTGTTGAGGTTTTTGGTACAGGAACTAGACAGGATGTTTTCCCTAACACTGATATCATCTCCTGTTTCAAACTTTGGCTGTAAATGTGACTCAGGATCACAGGCAGCTGGCTAGCACAGGTCCTCAGCACCTTGGGGTTGATGTAATCAGGCAGTTTTGTGTAGCCTAATAATGGGAGAATTTAAGTATTTAAACATGTGTTACTTATAGCTTGAGAGTAGATAGCAACACATGTAGTAAACTTAATTTCTTGCAGGACCAAAACAAGGAAAGCGGTGAGGCTCAGTGACGTTGTAGCCCATGCTCTGCAGAAAGAGATAAGTTAATGTGCTGCTAATGGTAATATGTCCACCCCAGATAAGCACCTTTCTCTGCCAGTTTTATATTTCAAATGCTGATAGCATGTTTGAAAATTTCTTTGACTGTTAAAAAATGCTTTGCAACCTAAGGCTCAATAAAAGATTCCCTAATGCCCTGATATTAACTGGGTTATTATATAATCTCAAGGATTTATTCTAAGAAAGTTCACAACCCATATAAGCTGCACTTCATTTGTAAAAATAAGTCAGTAGATAGATAGATAGATAGATAGATAGATAGATAGATAGATAGATAGATAGATAGATAGATAGATAGATAGATAGATAGATAGATAGATAGATAG